ACAAAGGCAGCACCTTCTCCTCAGTTATTTTTAGACCCTGAGTGTTGGTCACGACCTCTCGCACAACAGACCGACGCTCTTACCAACTGAGCTAAACGGGTGGCGGTTGGTATTCTAACTATTTAGTAGCTAGATTATAGGTACGGATATAGACACTGTCCTTATTAGACCTTTTGCATATAAGACACGTGTCCGTTGTACCAAGACGTTCCACTTATCAAGCACAGTGATAAGATAATGAGGGTTCTAAAAGCATCATTATCACCCTATGAATACATGCCATTGTTGATGAGCAGTCTTACTATACAAATTAACGGTTCTTTTATTTGGGTGAGGTGGGAGGGAATATTCTTCTTTTGTTTTGTTTTCAATGGACGAATGAATGGAGGAAGAATAGTGATGAGTTGGCGACTGATTGATTGGATTCGTTTTCATTCCTTGTCACAACGAAAGTTTCAATTAATGTTAATTCATTAGAAATCTTCGTCTTCTGTTTCGTATAGTTAGGCGTCGAATTCGCACGCGAGCAGCAGCATTACGACGTTGTAAGTTTAGTATCGGTATTCTCGTCCTTATCACGATTTCTTCAAATGTTTCTATAGTTTCCCCGGTTAGATACCAAGATTCAGTATTCGTGGCGAGTTTATAAGGACACTGTAATAATCTCTACCACCGTTCATTTCGGGACCAAAGACACACAAACAATCCAGGACGTCAAGTGGATATTCATCACGGCCAAAACCTGAACGACTAGCATTGCTATGAAACACTGAAGCCATGCTAAAAATTTCAAAGGAAAAAACTGGGTATTGTTTATAATTCAGAATTTGGTATAATGTCAGAACCATCACTGGAATTTGACCAAAGAAAAAAAGGAAACGGTGGTGGCATATCTTTGATAAATAAATAACAATGGTGACTGTGGTCACTCAAACTTTCCAGTACAAGAAGGACACCAAAAAGTCGAAGATTGATAGCGTCCTGGACATGCTTCCAGGCATGATGGACAGCGTCAAATCAGCCGCGAAGCCCATAAGAAAGCTGTCGCCAAGTGGCAAAATCTTTCAGATTCTGAATAAGGTATCAGTAGACCTTACTAGTTTCTATTCCCTCTCGGTAAAATTTTGGAATATTATTCCATTTGGTAGCTTAAACTCCTGGTCATCTACATACTTAGGCTGGTTTCACGACTAGTCTTTTTATGGAAACCACTGGTCTATTGATAAAGGTCGACTGATAACTTTATACATGTTTCATTTGTTTTTTCGTTTTTCTATTTTTAAGATTTCTTTTCGAACGATATTTTATAGATACAGTTGG